TAGGGTTGCCACCTGTCCAGGATTCACCGGGACAGTCCGGGTTTCATGGCAGCAGAAACCCGGACACAAGATGTCAGGCAGACAGGGGCAACCAAAATTAACATAGGGGCTACTGGCCCCCCACTGAAAATAGTCTCAACTGTGATATTTACTTATGAATGGGCGGCGCTATTTACATATGAACATGCCACGGCTCATTCTCCCAAAAAAATGCCCACGCGTCGCTAGAGTGTTCAGGTTTCGCTTGAAGAAAAAGTGGCGACCCTACACACACCCCCTCCACCAAAGAAACCACAAAAAAATAAAGTTGGAACCTGACACCTGTCTGTCCCGGAGTTGGCAGGGGGCTCCTCTTCAGGCACCATGAAGCGGAGATGGCCAGTACCGTAGCCAGTATCCCCTCTCCTATGACAATTTGATGTGCCTCTGTGCCTCTTCTCTACTGTGGTAGAACAGTTTGGATAATTTCACAGAGATAAAGTTAACAAAACTGTTGCGCCAGACAGCAGTTGGGTGGAGAGGGTACAAGCTGTTGAACTACAGGGTTCAGCAATTACAGTATGTATCAGAACTAGGGATGTCTTTAATATTGATTGGATCCTGGGCTAACATCTTCTTCCCCCCCTGTCCCTACCCGCCATGCCCCGCCCTTACTGCTTCCAGGGGCGTATCTGCCGCGAGACAAACAAGGTGCTTGGTGACGATCGGCCGTCAGTACGGGGGGGGGGCGGCGTTGCTGTTTTGCCTAGGGCAGCAGCATTTGTAAATACACTGCTGACTGCATCCCCTACCCGCCCAGTCCCCGCCATGCAATGCAGAGCAGATAGGAGGAGACATCAGGGGGAGAAATGACCCTGCATGAGATGTCACACGGTCACGCTATGCACCATATGGCAGATGGCAGAGCAACAGTATGCAATGCATAGTGAACAGAATGGTGCTGCGGCTAGGGGGGCAGCTGCTTTGGGCCCCACAACAATGACGGGGCCCTGGGCAACTGCCCCTTTTGCCCCGCGTTAAAGACGGCCCTGATCAGAACATTTCCAAGCACTACATTTGGTCCCTTGGAGGAGTTACATTTCCAAGTGCTACATGGATTTGGTCCCTTGGAAGAGTTAACTTTGCAAAGTAGTGATATTGAGTTGCCATCTGCTAATTATCTGCAGCACCATAAAGGTATTTCCTAGTCATGCATATCCTCCTTTTCCCTCCCCTTTGTGACTAGACTAGGTTGCACAGTGTCATTGGTTGCTAGGACACCGATGGAGGTCTGGCGGGCAAATTGTGAACAGCTTGGGTTCAGTTTGAACTCATGGTTGACCTGAACCCAAAGTTCATGTGTAGTACAGAAGTTTCACTTACAAAATAGAATGATGATCCACAGAGGAATCAGTAAGATAAAAATACAACAGACGCCAGAACACTATGACCCATTTTGCACCCATTGGCCTTATGGTTAAGCATCATTAGGTGGAAAATGCGTCAAGGTGTTCTGGAACAGGCCTTCTCCTCCCCCAGCGTCTGTCAGCGTCTCTCCCCCAGCATCTGTCAGTGTCTCTCTCCTCCCAGTGTCTGTCGGCGTCTCTCTCTCCTCTTCTTCCTGCGCACACGTGCTCAGGAAGTTACCAAGTGCACAGGGGGGGCCACGACCTTAAAAACTACACTACACTGCAAATCATACATTAAACTGAAATAAAAAAATCTAGCTTGGTGCCCAGACCTCCTTGGCCACCTGGGCCCCTCACATAAGTACCGGCCATACCCCCCTGATGGCGGTCCTGGCCGGGTACTCGGATCGCGACCCCCCTGTTCACTTGCGGGACCCCATATGGGGTCGCGACCCACACTTTAAGAACCACTGTTCTAGAGTACAAATCCAAAAATAGTCACCAGCACACCAAAGCATATTCTGTCAACTCTTCTTTTATTGACAAAAGAAAGGTATGTCACAATGTGTAGAGACGTTTCGGAACTGTGTTTGTCTGAAGACGGGACCAAAATGGTTCCGAAATGTCGCTACACATTGTGACATACCTTTCTTTTGTCAATAAAGTATAGACATGTAAGCTGCGGAAAAATCCGGATCGGTTCGGATATTTCGTTATTTCGGGATTCGGATCCGAAATTCGGTTCGGGTTTCGGATTCGGACGAAATCCGAATTTTAGTTAGTTTCGGATGAGTTTGCGAATTTTCGTTGTGAATAACACAGAAAACCCATATACATATATAAAGAGAGATATTAATACTAAAGCCGAAACTACTAGACCCGAATGGCATTCGGGATCCGAATTTCCAAAATGCATTCGGGAGCTCCCATTCGGGTCTGGGAACTTCAGCTCTAGTAATATATGTATTTGGCTTCCAGACCAGGAACGGGATTCGGGATCCGAATTTCCGAATTGCTTTCGTGAGCTCCTGAATGCCATTCGGGTCTAGGAGCCATATAGATATATTACTAAAAACTGAGGCTCCCAGACCCGAATGGCATTCAGGAGCTCACGAAAGCAATTCAGAAATTCAGATCCCGAATCCCATTCCTGGTCTGGAAGCCATATGCATATAATACTGAAGCTGAGGCTCCCAGACCCGAATGGAATTCAGGAGCTCCCAAATGCAATTCGGAAATTCGGATCCCGGATGCCATTCCTGGTCTGGAAGCCATAGACATATATTACTAAAGTGGAGGCTCTCAGATCCCAATGGAATTCAGGAGCTCCCAAATGCAATTCGGAAATTTGGATCCCGGATCCCATTCCTGGTCTGGAAGCCATAGACATATATTACTAAAGTGGAGGCTCCCAGATCCCAATGGAATTCAGGAGCTCCCAAATGCAATACGGAAATTCGGATCCAAAATGCCATTGGGGTCTGGGAGCCTCAGCTTTAGTATCATATGTATATACTGTATGTGGCTCCCATGTTGCCGTAACGAAAATTCGTGTTCAGACCCATTCGGAGGCATTAAACCGATACATCTGATTGGCCAGAAAAGTCACACGTCCGATTCAGTTTAGTTCTTGAACGAAATTGGGACGGGATCCGAAATTCAGGAAATGGAAATTCGGATTCGGACGCAGATGCATTGGGATTCGGAAATTTGGATGTGTCCGAATGCCGGAAAAGTCCTACGAATTTTGATTCAGAACAAAACTAATCTCACATGTGTAATAAAGAAGAATTGACAGAATATGTTTTGGTGTACTGGTGACTATTTTTGGATTTGTACTTGATTTGCACCCGCAGTCATTACAGCACCCTCCCGATGTTTTGGGTTGTATCCATTTGGGAGTGCGATGGGATTCTATGAAGTTTAAGGTGTTCTAGAGAGCCCAAGCAAGGCTGTTGTTCCGTGGAGAGGTCGCGTGCACAGCCTCCTGACTCCTCGGCGGTAGTAGCAATATTTTGTATGAACAATTCATAAAATGTCACCTAAGGTTCTAGATTGGCAGCTTCAAGATGAACCTTGCAGCTTGTACCCGGTGACCAAACCCAAAAACAAACCGCACAGTGACAGCATTTTTAGGCATCATCATTCGTAATAAGTAGAACAAATGCTGAACAAGTGTGATTTCACCTCTTTCTCCAAGCAGCAGATTGCAGGGAATCTCCATATTGTCCATCCCTGCCATTAAGCTGAGGCGATGGTCCGTAGAATTGCAGCCGTCAGAGGAAGATTTCATGGAAATATCTGGTGACCACAAAAATACACACACGGGCTTATTAGAGGAAATAAAGAAACATAAAACAATTACAGTAACCACTTAAAGTGGTTACGTCGGAGTGAGAGCAATAATTCTAGGCCCATCGATCACTGTTAGCATTAAACTGATGAGCCGTAAAAGTGTTTAACCACTTGCTGACCCTTCCTGTCCCGGCCATTTTTCAATGTTCAGCGCTGCGGTATTTTGACTGACGTTTATTCCGTCACGCAACGCTGTACTGAAATTAATTTTATACCATTTTTTGGGGACAGATAGAGCTTTCGTTTGGTGGTATTTAATCACCACTGGGTTTTAAATATATATAATAAAAAAAGTACTGAATATTTTAAAAAAAATGGTTTTTCCTTTTAGTTTAGGAAACAATTATTTTTACCCAATTTTTGGGTAGACACCAAACATGTCAAGCCTTAAAATTGTGCGCGCCTGCGAAATCGCAAAAAAAAAACCACCATAGCCAAAATTTGCCATAGGCCACGCTTTAAAAGATTTTACAGCTCATCAGTTTAGTGTTATCAGTGATTGATGGCGCTAGAATTATTGCTCTGACTGCGACGTTCGCTGCGATATGTAACACGTGCAGCATAATTGTCGTTTTTGCGTGTAGGCGCATGTAACGCATTTTTCCGCATCTATGTGGGGACTTTTTAAAAATGTTGTGGGTTTTTTTTTGTTTTGTGTGTGTATATTTTCATTTATTTTGTGAGCAATTTTTTTTTTTTACTTTTTTTTTACACTTAACTTTATTGTTATCGCATAGGGTGTTCCTATGTGATAACAAATTACGGTGACAGGTCCCCTTTATAGAGACATCAGGGGTCTCTAAGACCACTAATGTCACCCAGGGACCCCCCAGAGAAGCTGATGAAGCACAGATCTGCTTCACCAGCTTCTCTCCGGTTTCTGTACCGGAGAGTGACAGAGGAATGCGGAAGTGATGTCATATACATGACTTCCTGCATTCAGAGACTGGGAGGAGAGCGGAGGGATTTCACTTAGCTTTCTGTACTTTATTGCATAGTCATGTGGGGTATCAAATTAATTGTGATTTACTTATACATTAGAACAGACACTTGGTATGAATGTATCTCTTTCATCTCTCGATGTATTAATAAATTAATTAGGTGTAGATGTTTAAATCTGCAGTAACATAACTAAAGCAGGAATGCGGATTCACTTTAGTGCTTATTAAGCTATTTATGAACGGCCTGGTAAGTCTATTTTGCAACACGCTGAAAGCCTCTGGCTCTGGAGGTTTATGACCCCCAAATGGAGTCAGGATACATTGTATCTGTTGAGTGCTTTGCTACAGGCACTATGAGATGGCAAGCCAATTTGTAATGAGAACTTGTTTGAGGCTTTGTAGACTTGAGATGTACTCTTTATGCATTTTTGTGCCTATAGCTAAACTGTTGTAATAGGATTTGTGCTTGCATCCCGAACTGTTCAATCCTACGATTTGGTTACTGGATTTTGGATTTTGGAAATATAAGGGTGCCAATTCAACTCCCCTTTCCTTACTGAAATTGGGGTTCATCAAACCTCATTATTATCACACCTGCCATTGGTTATAGGACTTTAGGTTACCGGGACCCTCGATACTAATATGCCAAAGGGTGATAAGCAGTTGGGAATTTACATTAATACACAAAAACTCAGCTGAACTTGTATTTTAGGTTGAACAGGTTCTCACCTAGCTTGGGTGTGTTGATCATCTGCGTCCTAGGTGCTTGACCAAAAGAGATCAGAGCGGCGGACTCTACGCTATTCAGAAGCTCAGAGGTGTGGGCGGTGCTAAAAGTGGAAGAGTCATTCTTGTCTCCGAGAACCCGGCTGATCGTTCCTGCCATTGTATCAAGCTGTTGCTTTGCCACCTGTGACGATAAACATTGATGAAGGTACAGAAGAACCAGAAGGGTACAGAAACACAACCCTAAAATGGATATATTGCAAATCTGAGATACATTATATCGGAGAACCGGGTGTAAAAGTATGATATGCATACAGTGGCGTAACAATCGGCATAGCGACCCAGGCGGCCGCTATGTGGCCCGGGGCACAGCGGGGCCCGGCCGGATGCCGAGCGGACCGCCTGGGTCGCTATGGCATCCTCTGCTGGTGGCTTTCACTGGCGGCTCTGAAGAAGAATGCACTGCTGTTCAGATCACTGACCGTAATCTGTGCAGCAGCACGTTCGTCTCCAGAGCCGCTGCTGAGTCGATGAGAGCCAGCGGCGGTGGTGGAGGAGGCCGGACACGGCAGGGGAGGAGGAAGCAGGGCCCGTGGTCGACTGCAGGGGAGGAGGTCTATGGTGAGTCTATGGTGGGCTCTGCATGGTCACCCTCAGGTGGGCTGTATAGGATCTCAAGTCGGCTCTGCAAGGGGTGTAACTAGAATTCACAGGGCCCCATACAACATTTTGCTATGGGGCCCTGTGATTTCCCATTACGCCGCTGTATGCATAGTATATTAACCCTTTGCAGCCAAGCAGAAATCATCTTGTAAAGCTAAATTCCAGGCAGATATAACAGATGGGGTAGAAGAAGACCTGTCAGTGTTATTTAACTGCACCATGCTCCCATAATTTGGAGATATCAACAATTTTCTTATAGTATTCAAGGTTCCCACAACAAGATCTTTCTTTCTCTGGCAAATCATGGTGTCTCACTCTAGTTGTGTAAAATCAATCAATCATCTAGTTAGCAGCAAAGGATAAAATCATAATCGCCCTGCCATCAACATGAAGCACGATAGCGGCTCAATGGAAAGTACTTTCTGCTTTGGAACCAGGGCCGGATTTACTCTCTCTGCTGCCCCAAGGCAAGGTTTCTTGATGCGCCCCCCTACTCGCCACCCCACCCCCCCAATGTAGGATGGCAGACCTCCAGGCTGCATACAAGTGATCTCAGCGACATCGCCAGGATCACAAAACGACCCACCAGGCGCCCAGAACTGCATGTCCCGGGCATCGGGAGATAGGAATTCCACAACCCTGCTGCCCCTCTACTCCCTGCTGCCCCAAGGCCGGGCCTTCGTTGGCCTTGTGGGAAATCCGGCCCTGTTTGCAGCACTAGGTGGCACACTTGTAAGTACCTCCAAGCATTTTAAATGTTTTCCATTGACTTGAGTTTTCCCTTAGTGGTTTTCTTCCTCATTTCAAAAATAGACTGGTAAATCGATTGGCTTCCATTCACATTGGCCTTTGCGTGTGGTGCGGGTGCCTGAATGACTGGGACAAGGACTGGGTCACTGGACTGGAAGCTCCTACAGAGATTGTAGTGACGGTAAATTAGGGATGTACAGATACTTTTCGAGTACCAGTGCCGATACTTGGCATTTTCATGAGAACTACCAGGGTTGCAGCGGTTGCAGCTGGGACCGGGCTCTGGCGCTCCACCACTGTCCTGAAATCATTATTCTGTATTGTGTTAGAAAAACTGTCACATGACAATAAACAAAAATGTATCAGTACTCGTACTTGTAAGTACTCGGCAAGTACCAGTACTCGTACTCGCAAAACTGGTATCTGTGCATCACTTTACTTATATTTATAAAAACAAAATCATACATTACAACAGAGATGTACAAATCCCGGGAGCTCCGTGTGCTCCTTACACATGACAGCGGCCTCCTAATTTTTTTATTTTTCTTTAATGTAGTCTTGGAGCTCAAAAGTATCTGTACCTGTACTCGTACTTGTACCGAGTACTGTACTTGGTATCTGTGCAGCCCTACGGTAAATCACAAGTCTGTGTTATGCCATATTCAAATTGGCCTTTGTGTATGGTGCGGGTGCCTGAATGACTGGGACAAGGACAGTGAGGAAGTGGTGGTGAGCCATGAAACGCATCGTATGGTGTTAAGTCAAAATCTACTTTTTTAATAAGCTGATGGCCTCCTGAGGTCACGGTACATCACTAGTGTATGTTGTTAGCGGTATATAAACACAAATACATCTGATTTCAGTGGGCTGACCATTTAAGCATCCAAGTTATCTTAGGGCATATCATTTTGGGCATGCTCAGTTGAACCAATTAACCTACCAGCATGTCTTTGGAGAGTAGCAAGAAATCCACGCAAGCACAGGGAGAACATGCAAACTCGATGATGATAGTGTACAGGTTGGAATTCAAACTGAGGATCTCAGTGCTGCACGGCAAAAAGTACTAACCACTAAGCCACCATCCCAGTGCTGCAAGTCAAAAGTACTAACCACTAAGCCACCATCCCAGTGCTGCAAGGCAGGCCCGGCGCTACCGCAAGGCAAGTCAGGCGGCCGCCTGAGGGCGCTGCAGGGTGAGGGCGATAAAAACAGGGCATTTTGACAATTACTTGTACTTGCCCCGAATGCCCCGATGTTTGCGCTATGTTTTTTTTTTTCCTTCACTTACCTTTGGTGCGGGAGAGCAGCGGCGAGTCAGCGCTGGTCCGGTGGGAGGAGCTCCAGGTGGGGTCCTAATTTAGCTGGCCGGCGACTGCCAGAGGTGCCGCGCGTGTCGGGATCCTTAGGACCCCACCTGGAGCTCCTCCCACTGGACCAGCGCTGACTCGCCGCCGCTCTCCCGCACCGAAGGTAAGTGGAAAAAAAACACTGATAGGGAGCAAGCCCAGCGCGACAGGGGGTGTTGGCATGTGTTGGCAAAAATCCTAGCACCGGCCCTGCTGCAAGGCCACTGTGCTCCACAGCTTGACATCCACCCCAGAAAGGAATGTCATGGTGCTGTGTGTGGATCTTTCCTGTACAGCGTCTCCGGAGGCTTCCCAAGCTGGTAGGTGAATGAGGCCACAAGGGGATTTAAAAATGACAGTTGTGCCGTGTCAGATTCCTCGCATCACCTTTCACCATCTCGTGGAGTCACGAGGCGGCCCAACCAAGTACTGATGGGGTGGTCATAATAATCTGGCCACTCAGTGTATATATATATATATATATAATACATACATACATACACACACACACCCAACTCTTCAATTGTCCCTTACCTCTTTCAGCAGGGGTGCAGTAATGAAGCAGGGAGCCTGGCAGGCGGTCATGTGACCACCCACCCGGCTTCCTGACTGGATGGGAAGCCTGGGAATCCGCAGGCATGCTCCCTCGCAGCTTCCCAGGCACCGAGGACTGGGACTGTTATGTGAGGAATGTAAGTGGCAAGTGCTGCTGCGCTCTCTGTCGCTGAGCCAAAGCTCTGTATATCACGGGCTATTGCCCACGATATACTGAGACGCCGCAGCCGGGATGGATCCCAAAAATACTGTTGTGATCCACCTGCGTGAGTGACAGCTGGCTCTGCCTATCTAGAGGCAGAGCCAGCTGTGCCCGCCCCCTCCCCATCCGTTCCTCAAGTCAGCACTGGAGCATTGGAGCGCGGAGGGGGGAATCCCTGTGGGGAACGGTGAGGGACAGTCACAGCTCACTGCAGGGAGACGATTGGGAAGTGTGCGGATCGGCGGCATGTTTCTGATCACTTCCCGATCAATAGAGCCGACCTGTGACAGCTTCTTTATCACACATCGGCTCTTACTATGAGGATGAGTGGAAATCACTCCCCTCATAGTTCTCCTTTAAATTGATTATATTGTTACTGCATATTTATGTTTGATAAAAAGTTGTGTTAATATCTTAGAGGTTGATTTACTAAAGGCAAACAGGCTCTTCACTTTGCAGGGGAACTTTCCCTTGGTGTAGTGAATGAGTTGAAGCTTTGCTGACTTCTATCATCCAATCACGTGCAATCAAAAATACTGTTTTTTTCCCCTTGCACATGATTGTGTCACGAAGCCAGGACCAGCTGGGGTTCTGCACAAGCATCTGCACATGCGTGTGTACTTGGGCATAGTTTGGTTCATTGAACTGTGCACCACTGTGTGCCTCTGTGTAGACTTGTGCGCATCTGTGCACCCATCTCACTGCCTGCACGTGGACATGCGCACATGCTCACCATCCATATTGTTTATTCCATCCAACCTCCTACATGGCAAGGGTCCATGCCCAGTGGCCACTGGGCAGTGATCTTTACCATGTAGGAAGTTGGAAGTCATATCTACTGACTCCCGTAACACTGATATAAACACACACACTTCCAACCCTACTCTACCCACCTGCGTCTTCTTCTCGCCGCATTCTTCCAGCTTCTCTCTCTGTTCACTGTTCATATTGCAGATGTACCTCACTTTATTCTCTACAGATAGATGAAAGAGAGTTAGGAGCATGCGTATACTCATCTACAGTGCAGAAGGGGCTTTTCCCACAGCTCACCAGAATTTGGAGGCTCTCTGCAAAATGTCAACCTAGAACCAGTACATCCATTAAAGGAGATTTTTCACTCACCTCATAGTTCTAGCCGACCTGTGACAATTAGACTGTCACAGGTCGGCTCAGTAGATCGGGAGGTGAGCGAACACATACCGGCGTTCGCTCACCTCTCAATCCTGTCACGGCTTTCTGCCGTGACAGGGGAGGGACTGGATTCCCCCCTCCCCGCTCGATCTACCAGCGCTGACTGGCGTAACGGACAGGGGAGGGGGCGGGTACAGCTGGCTCTGCCTCTAGATAGGCAGAGCCAGCTGTCACTCACGCAGGTGGGCAGATCCCGGCACAATTTTTCGGGATCCGCTTCAGCTGCGGCGTCTCAGTATATAATGAGCTGTAGCTCGCGGAATACTGAGCCTAGGGTGATGGGAGGACGCTAGTTTGTGTCCTCCCATTACCCTAAGGAGAACTATGGGGAAAAGACTTATCCCCATAATTCTCCTTTAATACTTCCTCACACCTACCATACACTGTGATTAAATACTGACACAATATAAGGACACTTTCAGCATACAAGCATCTTCTAATTTTTCTACACTTATTGTTATAAAGGTGATTCCAGGTAGGGGAACGAGACAGGTATCCTTGAAGTATTATCAGGTCTGGGCTGGGTTGACCGGGGCTGGCTCTCTCCAGAGCTTCTTGGCTTATGTAGACCTCTATTGCGATTTTGTAACAGAACTTGTGTCACAGCTCTGGCTTTCTAGGAATCCAGGTAAATTCCTAATTGTAAAGAGCACATTCTAGCACAGGGATAGGCAACCTCGGCACTCCAGCTATGAACCGACAAATCCCATCATGTCTCTGCCTCTGGGAGTCATGTCTGGGAGAGTCTTGCAATACCTCATGGGATTTGTTGTTTTGCCAATGCTGGAGTGCCATGGTTGCTTACCCCTACTCTACCAATTCATGCTAGGCTCCACTGATTGGGTGCTGCCTATGCCAACTTTATTCAGAAGCTTCTAGCAGAACTTCTCTTCTTCATGAATGACTGATAAAGAACAAGTAGGTGGGGAGATCCGCCTTCACTGGCTGCATAGTTGTTCTGGGTCATTGACTTGGCAAGAAATTAAATCAAAGGATATGGATGACAAACGGGCAACTATCTACTCTTAGGTCCCCTTCACACCTGAGCGACTTGAAGCTTCACCAATTTCCATTATATTCAATGGGGCCACCTGAGGGTAGTGTCACGTGAAGCTTGACGCCCATTGCTCTCAAAAGTACACAAACTACTTTTGGGTCAGAGTTGTGCATTTTGGCCACGTTTTTTAAGTGTTTTCTTGCCTAGTAACTGGTTTTCCATTGGTGAAAAGTAAAAAAAACAACCCTCAACTCTGAAATGCCTGAAAAAAAAAACAACGCCTGAAAAATGAACAAAGATGCTCAGCTCAATGTCTTTTCTGACGGCTTTGCCTTTCGATAAAGCTGCTCAGGCCAACCTTGAGGCTCCTTAGCGCCAGTTATTAAGAGTCAGGAACATAATTCTTTGAAGTCTGTTCAGTAGATAACATCTGACACATCGGTAATCCTATTTGTCAAATTTGTTTGTAAAAAATATAACATGGCTTCTCTGTAGATTGTTTTCGGTACAGGAAAGCTGGAGAAACCTTCTTCTTAATATGACCACCCGCCTGCCTATTGATTTTTACCATTTTGTACACTGTGCTTCAATATCGCGCCTCTTTGTTAATCTCGTTTGATAAATTGGTGATTGTTTTGTAGCGCTGTTGGTCAAAACCCAAGAAAAAAAGCTTCTCACTCAACAGTTGAATGGACATGGAGTCATACACCCCATCCATTGTCATATAAAATGGAGTGGTGCCAGCAGAACGGTAGGCAGTAGAGACTTGGCACTGAGAATGGAAGGGACATTCGTTTTCCTGTACCACGCAGATGGACCAAGGCACCAAGCTGATGAGGACAGCAAATGTCAATCCTCAGGAGACCCTGTCGCCCTTGTTCCCTGACACTCAAACCGAAGTTTGAGGCAAAAATAAATCTTTAGTCTGCTCAGTTATAATATTCCAAGTATGAATATTAACATTCTCACATGAGCTCAGTTGTGACAGGTGTTCCTTAGGGTTTGTGTTGATGGACTTTTATTGACATCAGAGCTGCTCCTGTCTCCCTACAAGTCAATGGGAATGCAAAGGGAAATTGAGGCAGGTTGGTGCAGCTTAGAAGCAGGTCGAATGCAGGGCAGAAGGTGGTCAACTTTCTTTCTTCACTTTCTTTCTTTGTTGGGATTCATAGCTTGAATTCATTGCTGGGGTTCATTGCTGGAGTTCATTGCTGGAGTTCATTGCTGGAGTTCATTGCTGGGGCTCATAGCTGGAGTTCATTGCTGGAGTTCATTGCTGGGGCTCATAGCTGGAGTTCATTGCTGGAGTTCATTGCTGGGGCTCATTGCTGGAGTTCATTGCTGGGGCTCATAGCTGGAGTTCATTGCTGGGGCTCATTGCTGGAGTTCATTGCTGGGGCTCATTGTTGGGGTTCGTTGCTCTAGTTCATTGTTGGGGTTCATAGCTGGAGTTAATTGCTTGGGATTCACTGTTATTGTTCATAGCTAGACTTGTGCGCCGTCAAAAAGTTTGTTCCGTTTCGTAATATCCATTATTTCGTAATTCGTATCCGAAACTCAATTCGGATTCGTACGAAATACGGATTTTCGTTAGTTTCGGCACATTTTTGTAACTTTACGAACATTCGTTATGATGAAGTTAAAAAGCAAAAATACCTTTGTTAATATTGGAGTCGATGTGGTCGTTGTTTTTGTATCCGAAATACGAATTCCGTTAACAGATTCCGTATCCGAATTTCGTATTTCGGACTTAAAAAAAAACTACCATCAACATGAAACGAATGTTCGTAACGGAACGAAAATACGTCAACGGAATTTCGTATTTCCTGCCTGTGTATTGTAATGCAACTCTCAGCAGCAGCGGATCCGTATTTCGGATTTAAAAAAAAATCTTGTCATGTTGTTCAACCTCATTTACAGGGGTAATATTAGTTCCTGTTTCAAAGAAATTCGGATCCGAAATTCGTTAACGGAATTTCGTATTTCGGATATAATTCGGAAACTGCAATTCGGATTTCGTATGCTTACGAATCTACGAATTTCAGGAAGATTCGTACGAATTTCGATTCGTAACGAAACAAATCGCACATGTCTATTCATAGCTGGAGTTCATAGCTGGGGTTCATAGCTGGGGTTCATTGCTGGGGTTCATTGCTGAGGTTCTTTGTTGAGGTTCATTGCTGGGGTTCATTGTTGAGGTTCTTTGTTGAGGTTCATTGCTGGGGTTCTTTGTTGAGGTTCATTGCTAGGGTTCTTTGTTAGGGTACATTGTTGGGGTCTATTGCTTGGGGTTCATTGCTGGGGTTCTTTGTTGAGGTTCATAGCTGGAGTTCATTGCTGGGGTTCATTGCTGGGGTTCATTGCTGGGGTTCATTGCTAGGGTTCATTGTTGAGGTTCATTGCTGGAGTTCATTGCTGGGGTTCATTGTTGAGGTTCATTGCTGGGGTTCATTGCTGGGGTTCATTGTTGAGGTTCATTGCTGGGGTTCATTGTTAAGGTTCATTGCTGGAGTTCATTGTTGAGGTTCATTGTTGGGGTTCATTGCTGGAGTTAACATTCGTTATGATGAAGTTAAAAAGCAAAAATACCTTTGTTAATATTGGAGTCGATGTGGTCGTTGTTTTTGTATCCGAAATACGAATTCCGTTAACAGATTCCGTATCCGAATTTCATATTTCGGACTTAAAAAAAAACTACCATCAACTCCAATATAAATGTACTTTGCTTTTTAACTTCAATATAACGAATGTTCGTAACGGAACGAAAATACGTTAACGGAATTTCGTGTTTCCTGCCTGTGTATTGTAATGCAACTCTCAGCAGCAGCGGATCCGTATTTCGGATTTAAAAAAAAATCTTGTCATGTTGTTCAACCTCATTTACAGGGGTAATATTAGTTCCTGTTTCAAAGAAATTCGGATCCGAAATTCGTTAACGGAATTTCGTATTTCGGATATAATTCGGAAACTGCAATTCGGATTTCGTATGCTTACGAATCTACGAATTTCAGGAAGATTCGTACGAATTTCGATTCGTAACGAAACAAATCGCACATGTCTATTCATAGCTGGAGTTCATAGCTGGGGTTCATAGCTGGGGTTCATTGCTGGGGTTCATTGCTGAGGTTCTTTGTTGAGGTTCATTGCTGGGGTTCATTGTTGAGGTTCTTTGTTGAGGTTCATTGCTGGGGTTCTTTGTTGAGGTTCATTGCTAGGGTTCTTTGTTAGGGTACATTGTTGGGGTCTATTGCTTGGGGTTCATTGCTGGGGTTCTTTGTTGAGGTTCATAGCTGGAGTTCATTGCTGGGGTTCATTGCTGGGGTTCATTGCTGGGGTTCATTGCTAGGGTTCATTGTTGAGGTTCATTGCTGGAGTTCATTGCTGGGGTTCATTGTTGAGGTTCATTGCTGGGGTTCATTGCTGGGGTTCATTGTTGAGGTTCATTGCTGGGGTTCATTGTTAAGGTTCATTGCTGGAGTTCATTGTTGAGGTTCATTGTTGGGGTTCATTGCTGGAGTTCATTGCTGGGGTTAATTGTTGAGGTTCATTGTTGGGGTTCATTGTTGGGGTTCATTGCTGGGGTTCATTGTTGAGGTTCATTGTTGGGGTTCATTGCTGGGGTTCATTGTTAAGGTTCATTGCTGGAGTTCATTGTTGAGGTTCATTGTTGGGGTTCATTGCTGGAGTTCATTGCTGGGGTTAATTGTTGAGGTTCATTGTTGGGGTTCATTGCTGAGGTTCATTGCTGGGGTTCATTGCTGGAGTTCATTGCTAGGGTTCATTGTTGAGGTTATTGGGGTTCATTGCTAGGGTTCATTGTTGAGGTTCATTGTTGGAGTTCATTGCAGGGGTTCATTGCTGGGGTTCATTGCTGGAGTTCATTGTTTGGGTTTATTGTTGGGGTTCATTCCTTCATTTTTTTTTGCTGGTAGTTGAAAACCTAACCCCTAACCATGTCAAGCAAAATGTATAAAGACTTTAATATTATGTAGTAGACATGTGCGATTCGTTTCGTTCCGAATCGAAATTCGGACGAATTTTCGGAAATTCGGATGTATCCAAATTCCGAATTACAGACATAACGAATGCAAACGAATCCGAATTTCCATTTCCGAAATTCGGTAGCAGTAGTTCGAACGTTCGTTTTGTATTCTGTTCTTGTTCGTTTCTTATTCGTTTCTTATTCGTTTCGTTCGTTGGAGCAAAGTGACATTAGAGAAGGAGAAAAATATTTCTTCCCCCTCGAATGTCATGAACGAACGAAACGAATAAGAAACGAATAAGAAACAAACAGAAAACAAAACGAACGTTCGACCTAACGCTACCGAATTTCGTCCGAATCCGAATTCCGAATCCGAATTGACTTTCACACCCGAATCCCGAAAAACAAAATAACACAAATCCGAATTTAAAACGAAACGAAACTAAACTAATTTTTTGGCAGTGCACATGTCTATTATGTAGGGCTGGTGTCACAGTACCGAGTGTGTTGACGTGTGGTGTGTTCTCACAAAAAAGTCATGTGTGGCTTCCAACGTTCATTGGCAGCCTAGTCAACATAATTGGGCTGCCCTGACACAAAGCATGTTGACACACAAAGCAACACTTGTCAAAGTGCGCGCCCTAACACACCACAGTCATTGCAACAGAAAACCTCCGTCCTCCATCTTCCTTGACCTCAAACAAGAGCACTTGTATGACTAGGAGGGTCCTGTTTAGAGGAGGAACTAGCTATGGGGGTGCTGTGACAGGGTGGGGTGCACAAACGCTGACTATCATCATTGAACATTCTTTGGTGTTGTCCATATAACTCACCTTCACAGTAAGCTGTCCCTTCTGTAGGACAGAACTGAGCATTGGGACGATTAGTTAAGCATTCGCAGTAGTAGCTGCCATGTGTATTCCGGCACACCGCTCCAGGTCCACACGACTTCCTCTTACACTCATTTGAATCTAAAATGTAGAGTCGATTGCACAGAATTAAGTCAAAGTGAACTTCAAATCAAATCACTAAACTCCCATACACGCCTTAAGATATCAGTGTCCTCCCGTAAAGAATTTTCCATATTTTAAAATCTGCATTTCTCATGATACAAATACCCGGTGATCAGTGGCGTAACAATCGCCATAGTGACCCAGGCGGCCACTATGGGGCACAGGAGGGCCCGGCCAGGGCTGCCTGGGTCGCTATGGCATGTGGGGGTGCTGGCTGTCACAGACACAGCTCAGCAGCGGCCACGGCGCATTTCTCCTCATAGCCGCTGCGGAGCCCGCCTCCTCTTACATCACTGGCCAGCGACCTAAGAGCAGGTGGGGCCAGTGATGTAAGAGAAGGCGGGGCCCGTCGATAGCAGAGGAGGCGGGGCCCGGGGACGGAACAGGAGTCGGGGCCCGGGGACGGAACAGGAGTCGGGGCCCGGCGACCACAGAGGCGCTGACAGGTAAGAGATCTCAGACCCTGCAGAGCCCACTATAGAGAGTCTATGGCGGGCTCTGCAGGGTCATTCTCCGCTGGGGCTCTGCAAGTGGCATAACTAGCAATCACGGGGCCCCATACAAAATTTTGCTATGGGGCCCTATGATTTATAGTTACGCCCCTGCCGGTGATGTTGCCATAAATGTCCTTATCCAGGCACTTATAGGGTGACAACACTCTGTCCCTGTGTCCCATTTGTGCTCCCGCATTGTCACCCTGTCTCCATTTTAAAACACATAACATATTGACAGCTGAAGCCACTACTGCATGCAGTGGCGTTACAATCACCATAGCGATCCAGGCGGCCGCTATGGTGCCCGGGGGAAAGGGATGCCAGGCCAGGACTTCCCCCTGATGCCGTGCGCGCCACCTTGGTCGCTATGGCATTTCAGGCTGCTGGCTGTCACTGACGACTGTGAGGAGGAACACGCCGCTATTCACATGTGCAGCGGCGCGTTCCTCCTCACAGCCGCTGCTGAGTTGGTGACAACCAACAGCTTCAGAGGAGGTGGCTGGGCCCGTCGTCGGCAGCGATGGAGGAGGCGGGGCCCAGCGACCGAGGAGGCGGATCTTAGCAATGGGGGAGGTGTCCCCGGCTATCGAGGAGGTGGGGCCCAGAGACGGAGGAGGCGGGGCCCGCAAGCGATCGTGAAGGAGAAGGAGGCGGACAGAGGATTGGGGCAGACAGGCAAGAGGGCTTGACCAGCCCACCCGAGACCCTGCACAGCGCCCCATAGAGAGTCTATGGTGGGCTCTGCAGGGTCACCCATAGGTGGGCTGTTTAGGTTATCAGGTGGGCTTAACTAGAAATCACAGGGCCCCCATACAAAATTTTGCTATGGGGGCCCTGTGATTTCTAGTTACGCCCCTGACTGCATGGCTTGGTTATTCTGTTTTTTGGGGGGGGACTTTTGTTTGGTGATCTGGAGCTAATTTAATAATCAAGACTTTTAATAAAGAGTATTATTATTGCCTGGTGCTGTCCTCAGCATCACAGAGCTACCGTGACACCTAGTTACAAGCAAATAACCTTATACATGGTGTGTTTAAATGACTCTTGAGTTTCTGGTCGAGTCGGATTTATTTTATTATGTGGTCATTTAAAAAAAAACCGGACCTGACGGAATTCTTCACCCGTCTCCAATCTGTCCCTTATTTTAAATACAATTTTCTTTTTGGAATGGAACTGCAGCACCACCTTGTGGAAAGTTATGAGTACTACACTCTATGAAACGCTCTAGACTAGAGCCTTGGTTCTCAACTGGTGGGCCGTGACCCAAAAGTGGGTCACGACCCTGTTTTCATTGGGTCGACGCATGCCTTCCACTGCACAAGGCGAGAGGCTGCTCTATCTCCCCCAGCGCAGCACTGTCAGTTCTTGCACCGAGCAGCCAGTGCTGAGTGTCAGCTTGAGGTGGGGTGGGCTGGGGCTGGGCTGCGGCTATGGCCACGAGGGAGCTCCATCCATACAAGCATTGCTATATGATGTGATAGCAATCGAGTCAATAAATCGTTTTTTACTTGAAAATTCTATTGGAGTGCGAGTAACTTTATACATACACTTGCTTAAAGCTCCCTCACGTGTCCTATGCTGCCCCAAGGCCAGGTTGCTCAATGCGCCCCACTACACGCCAACCCCCGCCCCCAGTGGAGAATGGCAGACCTGCAGGTTGCACACATGTGTTCTCAGCGACATCACCGGGATCACATGTACAAAACAAGCGGCGGCTTCCCCGCTGTACATTTACTTCTTCTTACCTAAAGCAGGGCTACATGTAGGAAACTACCCGACTGGTGCTCGGAACTGCATGTCCCGGGCGTCAGGAGGTAAGAATTCCACACCCCTGCTGCCCCTCTACTCCTGGCTGCCCCGAGGCCGGGCCTTGGTTGGACTTGTGGGAAATCTGGCCCCGGGAGTGACGTCACATTCTGGCTCACGACACCTCTATAGGGAGGGCAAGGGAGCTGTACAAGCAATGCACATATGGATGGAGCTCCATCACAGCACAGCAGCCCACACTGCACCCCAGGCTGAGGATCCACTCCAGCTCTCGTAAGATAGGGAGACTGGGTGGATCTTAAAAAAGAAAAACAATTTGGGGAGTGTGAATGTGTGTGAGAATGTCTGTCAATGTTTTTGAGGGCCCGTTCACACTAGTACAGAGGCTAATGCACTGTGCCACACAATCGCACCTACTGCGCGTTCTGGTGCGGGAGGTGTGTTGTGTTTCCATTCATTTGAATGGCACCCCAAACGCACCTGCCACCCACAGTTCAATCGCCTGTATCAGAACGCGCGGCGCCGCAATGCCTTCCGTTCCAGGGCAGTGCGGCTTGGGTCACGACCGAATGACCGAGGACAAATGTGGGTCCCGAGGTTACACGGGTTGAGAAGCACTGCTCTAGAGTATTTTATGTGGGGAATTGTCTGCAGAAGAAATAAAACAGACGGGAATGTTTTTGTGCCCTTACTAACCAATCAGATTCTCCCTCGGAGATTCTTTCCCTTAAAGTGTATTCCCACTTTTGCAGCCAAATTTAAGAACCCCCCCCCCCACCTATGCATTTGTTATGCGTTCCTATTCACACAGTATGCGCTTTGTACATGTGTTTCATGAAAATACAACACAGTGCATAGTCGAGGGTTAATATGCTGCCATCTTGTGGGGATTTTGATTATTGCAGCAACCTTTTTCTGTATTCCCTCCCCTGGCGTGTGATGTACTTCCTTTCTCTTTCACATTGAGGGGGTTATTCACGAAGGAGCCGAAGCATCGAGGCGTAGCTAGGCTGATCCTGCGGCCCGACCGGAGCCTTTTGGTTCAGTGACAATGGCAGGCGGAATGAAGCAATCCAGACAGTTCTCACCTACACACAGGATCCGAGTCTGACGTTTACACTTGTAGTATCCGGCTTTGCAGCGACATTTCGACTTCTGATCACAGCTGACGCTCTGGGGGCAGATCCATGTACGGTCACACTCCTGCTCATCTGTGGGGGCGGCACATAAAGATACAGAACAATAAAGGGGGCTGACCTAACATATGACCTATGAAATCACGGGGCCCCATACAAAATTTTGCTATGGGGCCCTGTGATTTCTAGTTACGCCCCTGACTCCATCCCTTATTGGTGCAGCACTGTATGATCTTCACATGTTCTATGGTTCATTTTAGGGATTCACCGACGATACGAGTATCGGTATCAGTGCCGATGCCGAGTATTTGGGCGAGTACTCACTCAAATGCTCCGATGCGTAGCCCGATACCTGAGCTTCCGGTATCAGGAAGCCGGGCAGCGAGTCATCACACGCTGCCAGGCTTCCTGATTGGCTTCAAAGCCGGCTTCATGCTCCCTCGTCACATGGTGGGAGGGAGCATGGAGCCGGCTTCCCAGCCAATCAGGAAGCCGGGGCGCCGTGTAATGACGTGTTGCCCGGCCTCCTGATTGGTCAGCTTTTCGACCAATCAGGAAGCCGGTCAACGCGTCATTACATGGCGCCCGGCTTCCTGGTTGCCCAGAAAGCCGGCTCCATGCTTCCTCGTCACCTGGTGATGGGAAAGCATGGAGACGGCTTCCCTGCTAATCAAGAAGCCAGGTGGCAAGTCAGTACACGCCGCCTGGCTTCCTTAATGGGACTTCTGGTATCGGTATTGGCGAGTACCGAAAAAAAAATATCGGTACTTGTACTCGATATCGGAAAAACGGTATCGGTGCATCCCTAGTTAATTTGCCTCAACAACCTAAAGGGCCGCCTTCTACCCCCAGGCCCCATAGCAGCCGCCTGGGCGTGCATTTGATACATGATACATGATACATTTAGACACATTTCTTCGGCGTGCTGGTGACATCTTCATTGACTTTAGCGGAGCCATCCACAGTCATTTCAGCCGCCATCCTCAAGGGGTATACCAGCCAGGAGTGTGGTGGGATACCTGTTGGACCTGATGAAGGGACCCTGTGTGGCCCAGAAACATTGCCATCCTTGTGACCACATGCATTAGTAGAGACAGGGGCGTAACTAGAAATCACAGGGCCCCGTAGCAAAATTTAGTATGGGGCCCCCGTGATTTCTAGTTATACCCTTTGCAGAGCCCACTCGAGATCCCACCTGAGAGCGAACTTGCAGAGCCCACCATAGACTCTCTATGGTGGGCTCTGCAGGGTCACCCTCAGGTGGGCTGGTCGCACTCCTTATCTGTCCGCCTCCTCTTCCGCCAAGGTCGCTGATGGGCCCCTCCTCCGTCGCCGGGCCCGCCTCCTTCTTCGTCACTGGGCCCCTGCCTCCTCCCCTGCAGCCGGCCACGATCCCCGCCTCCTCCTCCACTGCCACTGCTGGCTCTCATTGACTCTGTGGAGAGGAACGCGCTGCTGCACAGATTACTGTCAGTGATCTGAACAGCGGCGTGTTCGTCTTCAGCCGCCAGTGAAAGCCACCGGCAGAGGATCCCATAGCGACCCAAGCGGTCCGCACGGCATCTGGCCGGGCCCCACTGTGCCCCGGGCCCCTTATCGGCCACCTGGGTCGCTGTGGTGATTGTTACGCCACTGAGCAGAGACCTTTGTTGGACACATTGCTTTGGCGTGCTGGTAACATCGTCTATCTTCATTGGCCTCTGCAGAGAGACCACTGCTTCCCCACAGGAGCAAGGCTTCCACTCTGCAGCATGCTGGCGGTTGTCAGGCTTTTCTACTCAACTAGTTTAAGACTTTTGGTTTTGATGCCCCAGGAATGTATCAACCCAATTGAAAAGGAGCTTGAAAGGAGAACTATGGGGTCAGGGCTTTTCCTCATAGTTCTCCTTAGGGTAACGGGAGGACACAAACTAGCGTCCTCCGGTCACCCTAGGCTCAGTATACCGCGAGCTACAGCTCCCTATATACTGAGACGCCACCGCTGAAACGGATCCCAACAATGCTGTCTGGATCCGCCCAGCTGCATGAGTGACAGCTGGCTCTGCCTATCTAGAGGCAGAGCCAGCTGTACCCGCCCCCTCCCCCGTCCGTTCCGCCAATCAGCGCTGGCGGATCGGAGCGGGGAGGGGGGAATCCAGCCCCTCCCCTGTCACGGCAGAGAGCCGTGACAGGATCGAGAGGTGAGCGAACGCCGGTATGTGTTTGCTCACCTCCCGATCTACTGAGCCGACCTGTGACAGTCTCATTGTCACAGGTTAGGGTAACGGGAGAACACAAACTAGCGTCCTCCCGTCACCCAAAGCTCAGTATATAGGGAGCTCTAGCTCGCGGTATACTGAGACGCGCAGCTGAAGCGGATCCCGACAATTGTGAGTGAAAAGCACCTCCCCCCTCATAGTTCTCCTTTATCACTGATGTAACCTTATTCCGTTCTAGGTACAATTTACCAGTCCCTGCCGCCTCCCAGCACTGAACACTGAGCAGCGGCTCTGCCTGATTATCTCAATGTGAACCAATAATATCTATAGAATGAAGAAATACATTTTACAGAACATTCAGCCCCATCTACTGACCTGGACGAGGTCTTTGCTCTGCGGTGCACCGGATGCCGTTTTGTGCCTTCGCAGCAATGAAGACGCCTGAGAATGGAAATACACATTAAAGAAACGTTAACATTGTCAATCAGTGAACGGCTGTGTACATTCACCCAGCGCGTGAATGTATCTAACACCAAAACTAAAAAAATAGTAGGGATTGTATTGTACCATTGGACAGATTTTCCTTCACTTCCTGTCTAGAGGCACAACAGGAAGTGAAGGGAAATCTCTACAAAGAAAGGGGAATCCTCTTGTTCTTGTGGCAACTCAGAATTTTTTTATGTTCCCTCACATTGGCTCCTAGTGACCACCAGTAGGGATGAGCTAAGGTTTGGACTGAACCTCGAACATGGAAGGTACATAGGCCTCCCACCCTATCAGCTGCGGACTAGGGCATCCCCTGCCTGCAGCTGGCCATATAAAAAGGGGCGGGATGCTTGTGCTGACATCACTTACCTTATATGGTCATGTAGTTATATAAGGTCGATGATGCAGGGGTGTCCCCATAATGAGGTAGCCTGGTAGCCTCAGGCGCCATCTCACTGGGAGATGGCACTGGGGATGTCAGCACGGCTG